CCCTCTGAGCATCGCCGCTGGAACGGCACCTGAGCTGTCCTTTCCAGTCCAGCCCCTCTTGACAACGCCTGGTCAAGAGGGGCCCACCGCACCGGGGCCTCCCACATGACCTCTTTCTCCCCCCTTCCCTCTGCCAGGGTCTTCACCTAGAGGTTGTGTAGTTACTGTTTATTGTGAGACAGTTGGCATTTTAATTAGTCTGGTAACTTTTAATGATTGCTACTGTGTTGTTAGCTTATTGTAGAGTCTGTTTCTGCTCGAAAATGCAACCTTCTCGGTTCACTTTTGCAAAACGAAAATTCTTCCCGATTCTTCCCCAATCACGAAAGGGAAACAAAGACGGAAAGCCTTTTTTTGCAATATTTATCATCATCACGACAATCTCCGTTGTGACTGAGTTATGATGATGATGACAATATAATTCTCTAACTGCCCCAAGCCTTCTACTTGGGGCCGCACGGAGGGTGTGACATCCAGAGCAGCTCCCGACGTCCGGAGGACTCAGCTCGACAGTGTGAGGCTCGGGGTTCCAGGCTTGCCCAGTGCACAGCCCACCCCACCGGCTTAGAGACAAAACTTGGGCCTCTTCTTTCCAAATAGGGAGACCTAAATAACAGATCCTAAATACTGAACTCAAATACTCAAACAAGGGGGAATAGCTAATAAGGTTCAATCAGTTTTCAAAGCCGCTTGCCAGCCTCGGGTCCTGCTTGTTTTTTTAAACGATGGTTTAGTGATGCACCAGGAAAGGCAGCTGTACTTGAATGGTGGCTTCCTGGAGAAAATATACAAAACTTACCCTCTTGATGCAAATGTCAGTTTTGGCAGCAAGCCAGTGAGGCTGAGCGCCGGGAGCAGCCCCAGCCCACCACACCCCTCGGAACCTTCTGGGTCTGGGTCAAATGCAGGTGTGACTTTTAATACCTCTAATAGCTCAGTTAACCCCCCAGTCTTCAGTCTTCTAACCTGGAGAGTGGAGATTACCTACTAACTCAGCAAGTTGGCATGAGACAAAGGGCGTTCGTGTGCGCACAGAGCACGTGAGGCTCTGGGGCGGTGGTTCCCCGGAGCTTACTTTGTTCCTACCTCCCTGTCTTGCTGGCTTCCTACCTCTCCACATCTCACCTTGGACAGGAAAGTTACCTGAATCCACCGTGGCCCCATCCTCACCTCCGCCGTGCTGAATAAGTGCCTCCCATCCCAGCAGGTTCTTGTTCTCCCTTGTTCCCTTCCTCCTGCCATAATTAAGAAATGCACATCATTTAAAACTCAAATGTTATTTAAAAAGCTTACAATTCAAAAGCAGCACCTTTCCTCTGCTCTCTTCCAGACTCTGTTCCGGAGCCAATGTCTCCTTCACTCTCTCGCTGTTTCTGCTGGAACTTATCCCCCTAATTCTCACCGCCAGCCTGTGTCACTGGGTCTTGGGTGATGAGTTCGGGATGTGTCACTTCCCCTCAGGGTGATTCTCATTTCTCTGGATGAGGCCGCAGCCCCTTGAGTCCCCTCCCCCACAGCTCTCTCACTCTGTCCCCATGTCAGCATCCATCGAAGACAGACTCAGGAGAGAGCCGTACGTTATTGTAACTGTGAAAACATTTTCCTTCCCAAGGTCAGGGCGTGTGCTGGGGTTACAGTTTCTTTCCTGTGTTCTGTGTTATTTTTCCCGAGGCTAATAATTGCCTCGTTTTGTTCACTTACGTACTTTATAAACCCATCCTCAACTCTTTCCAACGTCTCTGTCTTAACCTCTCACCCCTCCTAAAGCTTATCCTTCTTTGAGTCCTGGAGACCTCCTCTGAAGTCCCCCTCATCCTGCTTTTCTCAGCCAGGACCCTATGAGCGCCCAGTCACCTGCTATTCTGGAACTTTCCTCTGCGGTTCCTGTGTGGTCAATCCACCCACTCTTCACTCCTTCCCTTCCATCACGCTCCCTGACTCAGCAGCTTCAGCATTTCCTGGATGTTTGGGAGCAATGCAGACTCTCGGCCAACTCCAGCCTGCAGACCCAGGATCTGCCTTTTAGCGGGATCCCAGGTGATGCTCATGTGTGTTCTAGTTTGAGAAGCACCAGCCGGGGGCAACCTGTCACACAGCCCCTGACGGAGCCATCTTTGCTCTAAAGACCCAGCGAGGATTCGCCTCCCGTCAGCACAGGGCAAGGGTGTGCATCAGAGTCCGGAACTGAGGGTCCGGGAGCGCTCTGCTCAGAGCTGCTCTCAGTGCACCGGAGGAAGGTGAGATTGAAGAACGCTGGTATCCGACTTTTTTTAAGGTTTATTGAGGTATAATTGACAAATAAGAATTATGTCTATCTATCTATCTATAGATAATGTACAACTTGATGGTTTGGTTTACATACGCATTACGTGAAATAACTACCATAATCAAGCTAATTAACACATCCATCCATCCATCCATCCATCCATCACCTCACATAGTGATCTCTTTCGAGTGTACGGTGAGAACAGTTGAGATCCACCGTCTTAGCAAATGTCTAGTACCCAATACAGAATTGCTAACTATGGTCTCCGTGCTGTGCATTGGCTCCCCAGAACTCCTTCTGTGTGGCTGAAACTGTGCACCCTTCTGTCAGGATGTGGAGGATGAACACACTTAGAGGGATGAAAATGGTACAGCTCTTTGAAAACCAGCCTAGCAGCTCCTCAAATGATTAAACACAAAGTTACCATAAGACCCAGTAATTCCACTCCTAGGTATACAACCAGGAGGAGTGAAGGCACACATCCACACAGAACTTGCACACGGATGCTCATAGCAGCATCATTCCTAATAGACAGAAGTTGAAAACAAGCCAAATGCTCATCAATGGATGAATGGCTAGACAAAGGTAGTCTGTCCATACAGTGGAATATTGTTCATCCATCGAAAGGAATGAAACACTGACACATGCCACAACACGGATGAACCCTGGAAAACATGCCAAGTGAAAAAAGCCAGTCACAAAACGCCACCTGCAACACGATTCTGTTCACAGGAAAGCCTGGAGTTGAGAAATCTATCGTGGCTGCTGAGGGCAGGGGTATAGAGGGAGACCAGAGGAGAGGCGATGACAGTCAAGGGTCCTGGGTTCCTTCTGAAGTAGAGAAACGTTCTAAAGTTGACGGTGGCGATGGTAGCACACATCTGTGAATATACCAACAGCCACTGAATTATACACTTTAAATGAGTGCATGCATGTTATTTCAATCATATTTTCATAAAGCTGATTTTAAACAAAGAATGAGAATGTTGAGGGCTCCCATGGTTCTGTGCTTGGAGAGTGTGGGCTGTGTCTGGGCCATGGAGGGGGATTAGGACCCGGGAAGAGGGACGTTGGGGAGCCTCTTCACAGAGGGAGTCAGGGTCAGAACGCACCCCCTCCACATGCACACTTCTCAGGGCAGCTTGCATGGAAGAGGCATGACCTTGGGCCCTTAGAGGTCATGTTCCTGCTTCGCTTGGCCAGCATTCCCCGCTGGACATGAATGACCCCATCACGGACACCATCTCAAATGGTACTTGGATCTCAAGGGCACCCCAACCTCTGGCTTCTCTTTCTGATTTTACAGAATACAGGGACTTGGGGAAATTTACTTCCTCTCTTGCTTCCTAATTTTCTCAACCGGATACATGATTACATGCCCCACAGGGGAGTTGTCACAATCAATGCCCACGGAGTGCCTTAGGATGAAAAAGCAATTCTTTCTTTGTGCACCTCTCACGGATGGTTCTTCCACATTCTTTGGGGAGAGCCTCAACATAGAAAGAAGGGACATTCGTGCAGCTGCCAATATCATACAAGTACTGACCTATTTCTCATTCACGGTACCAGGGCGTGATTTAAACCCCATTCTCCTAGCAGCCGTGTCCTGACGGCCAGCTCCAGTGTGACTGAGGGGGCACTTCTCTCTCAGATGAGCATGTTGCAAGTGGGACAGGGGGCCCGCGCATCTCTTTTTGTTGTCTAGGCATTTGAAGATGGATGCTGCATTCTAGAAAAGAGGCCAACACCCAGGTTTTTAAGAGTGTCAGGGTGCATTTCTGAGGATGTTGAGTGTCTCATTTTTACTTAAGGGCAAAGCAACACTCCTTCAAGCTGTTTCAGGAAACGCTTCAATCTCCATCTTCATTCACGCAGGCTCTGGAGAGAGCAGCTCCCTGGTTTCCACTAGCCATCGCCATCCCTAACAAAGGACCTGGCTGCCTTTACTCACTCTGATATTTCGTGAACTGAACAAATGAAATGCAAAGAGCTCAATGAATCTTTCCATTTTCTTAATGTATGTTCTGTGGCTGCCCTAACCCTGATTTCATTGGCCTTGGTTGTCTCTTAAAGCACAGGATCTACTCTTTCACCTGAAAAGGTCGGAAGGACACTCATGTTGAGTCTGGTCCTCTTGACATCACCATTAGCTTCCTAGATTTTATCATGAGACCCTCCCAACAGCTTGGGAATGACGTGTCCCTTGCAAATTGTTCTTTCATCTAAGTCCTCTCCATTCACATGTTCTTTTACATAAAGACTACAATGAACGTGTCCCTCTTGTTGGACCATAAAAAAAGTCAGACTGTAGATACCGGTTTCTAGAACATCTGTGTAGAGAGCCACTCTATTCCCTGATGACCACAGCACCCCGGAAACAAAGGGGGACACTGTTCTGTGTTTTCAAAGACCTACAAGCTCTTTGCTTTAACACAACATGTTCGCCTGGCTTGTGGCTGCTTTTTCCTTTTTGGCCATTTTTGGGGGCAGAAAACTTGGCTTTGTCATTAACTCCTATACACTGAACGCTTGTCTCCCCCAAAATTCATGTTGATTGAACCCTAGTCCCCAAGGTGATGGCGTTAGGAAGTGGGGGCCTTTGGGAGGTGGTTAGACTTAGACGAGGTCGTGAGGGTGGGGCCCTGTGATGAGATTAGTGCCCTTACAAGAACCAGAGTTCGCTCTTCTCCATCATGTGAGGACACAGGGAGAAGACCCCGTCTGTGAACCAGGAAACAGGTCCTCCCCAGACACTGAATCTGCAGACACCTTGACGTTTGACTCCCAGCCTCCAGACTCTGAGAAACCAGTGTCTGTTGTGTATAGGCCACCCAGCCCGCAGTGCTGTGCTCCAGCTGCCCCAGTGGACTGGGCCAACAACTCTGAACCCGTTAGGGACTCAGAAGGATTAGCTGGTGAGGATTTAAAGGACAATATGTAAAAACACACGTTACTGGAAAGCCGTCGGGGTTTCCTTTTGTGATCAGATGTCGAGTTTCGCTCCTTCACCTCTGCTTTCCATTCTTCAGGCATGCATCTCGCGTTCTGTCCTCTACGATCAAAGCAGCAAGACAAACGTTACCCTGGAAAATATCTTTTTTCCCTGACTTTTTTTTGCTTATTCTCATTTGCAACGTCCCCAAGGAAAAATAAGCAGAGAAAAATGGCATCAAACTGCAATCTCTAATGTCCTCCACCTTTGCTCTGGGGACGTGGATGCAGTGGAATGTCACTCGTCCGCATCTGCGCTCCTGGCTGCTGGGCTATCCCCAAGAGCCCTCCCGTGAGCACACTGAAATGCCGGACTTGGGGAGGCCCAGGTGACAGGTGATGCAGCTTTCTCGCACGTCCCCTGCACACGGGGGGCTCCAGAGGCAGACACGCCAGCCCCGCATGCGCACCTGTTGGGGTCAGCAGCATCTCCCTGGAGCCCAGCCCAGCGTGGCCCGATTACAGCACAGTGGCTCCACGCCCCAGCTTCCCGCCTGGCAGCATTCCTTTCCACTGACGACTACAGATTAGTCTTCCCCTCACGGGGAGAGGGGGGATGATGACTTGAGCCTCTTCCAGCCTCTGAAGTCCCAGTTCTCGGTGCTCTGCCAACTTAGCCGCGCGTGCTGCTTCACATCTGCAACTAGCATTCACAGCAAACTGGAACGTAAATATATTTATTCTCACTCTCTTCCAAAATCTAAACCGCTTGTAGAACGCACTTGATAGATCAAGACTCTAAGTGAGTTTCTTCTGCAGTGTCTTCCTTTTTAAAATACATAGCACAGAGGTCATTAACCAAGAAAGCTTTTGAGAACACACCAAGGCTATTTCTTCTTAAATACTCTTTTCCCCAGCATGCAGAATAGATGCCTGAGCCAGCTGTTTACGGGAAATAATAATTATTCTCTGCCAGCATCCAGGAGTAAAGGGAGGGAATTTTTAAGTAGAACACACCTAATTTCAGAAGATTTTGCTGATTAATTTTCTCACTGCTTCCATCCAGGCAGCTTGCTTGATCCGGAAATAGGTTTCTAAGCTGGAAAAAAAAAAGAAAGCGAAGTCTGACAGGAACAGAGCTTGCTCCCCAGGCAGCATTTTGCAACAGAACAATCATTTTCAAATGTCTCCTCTCCAGTTAGGACACCTCAAACCCTCTGCCCCTCAACTCCTTAAATGTGAAAATGCTTTGGGCTCCCCCCACTCACACCCCTTCAATGTAAATAAGAGGCGGACGTGTGTCAAGGAAAGTGCGCTGAGAAATTCTTTCCCCCGATCACAGAACAGAAAAGCAGTAACTGTCATTTATGTTGCTGTTGCTCACACCTTGCTCACCGCGGACAGTTAATTGCGCGGAAACAACCTATCATGTACCACAGACGCTTATAAAAATCATTCATCTATAGCAACGTTACTTAAAAATAATCTACCCCCCCCACGGCTCCCCCCCAGCACACACATATCCCAACCTCAAAGACGACAGAGTGCCTTGAACGAACAGAAACAGCGTCCTCCTCAGTTTTACGAGGCATTTGTACCTTGAGATGCTCAAGTTTTCTCCGTGGGTTTTCTCAATCCAAAAACTGCATTGATCTGGGAAGCTTCTCGGAACAGAACAGTGGAGAAACACCGGCCTGGGGAACAGCTCTGTTCATCTTTGTTCAAAACATCCTCCTGGACTCTCGGTTTCCTCCACCGTAAACTGGGGCTTTAGAAGATCTGTACCACCCAGCTGAGGCGGTTCTCTTGCAGATTCAACAAGATCCTGGCTTTAAAATTTCTTTAATAACATAAATTATATTCAAATATTGTAAGGTTTGGAGATATTTTGCTTTGAATGAAGCAGGAGTATCTTGCACAGCTGACGCTTCATGTACAAGGGCATGAAAATAATTTACGTTAAAGGAATCGATCTGGTTGTTTTTATTCCCTATCTGGAGAGCAGTGGTTTCTTTACCACTTTAATGTGAGAGAAAAATGTACACCACATTTCCCTTCACTTCGCCATAATAATGACAACTTATACTTTGCTATTAGTTGTCTAAGCAATAATAATATACTGATTGGCAATAATAGTAACAACTTATGAGAACTTTGTCTTTGCCAGTCACTATTCGAAGCATTACACAGACTGACTCACTTAATCCTGCCAACGTCCCCATGAGACAGGTCCTGTTCTTCCCGCTTTACGGCTGGGGAAACTGAGGCACAGGAAACTTAATTAACATATTTATGGTTGCTCAACCAGTAGTGACAAAGCCAGGACATGAACATGGGCCGTCAACTTCTAGAATCTGCATTCTCGCCCAGATGCTGCGCATACCCATTTTTTTCTCTGTTATCAAGCAAAGTCAGATAAGATTGTATTGTTAGGTATGGAAATTTCCAAATTGCCATGTAATAACCTGGAGTAATTCATTCCTCATGACACTTCTTCAAAGGGAAAACAGATAATCTTATTCTATTTTAGAAACGGAAATAAAAAACTGTTAAAAAAAAATGAAGTCATTTGTCCTCACTGATCCACTAACACAGCCCTAGGATTAAGAGCTATGGTTTCTGGGCGGCCCAGTGGTGTAGTAGCTGAGTTTGTGTACTCAGCTTCGGTGGCCTGGAGTTTGCCAGTTCGGATCCTGGGCAGGGACCTACACATCACTCATGGAGCCATGCTATGTTGGCGTCCCACATGGTGGAAGTAGAAGGACTTACAGCTAGGATGTGCAACTACGTACTGAGGCGTTGGGGAGAAAAGAAAAAGAGAGATTGGCAACAGATGTCAGCTCAGGGCCAGGCTTCCTCCCCAAAAACAAAAAAAAAAAGTTAATGGTTTCTCACGCTTTGGTTTGTTGACTGTTTCAATGGCCCATTGAAATGGACAACCACGAGTCATTTTATCCTAAGGGCTGGACTGAGAATCAGGACTTCAGGTGCCGGCCGTGGGTGGATGCAAGCTGCCCTGTTGCCTGTTCAGATAGGATTTCAGCTACATGACTGTATCAGGCGGTGGTTAATCAGGAAATCTGGCCTTCGGAGCAGGAAAACAGGAGATGAGGTCTTGCACAGCTGTTGGAACCCAGCCCGGGAAGACCAGGAAGGCCCTTTCAGGGATCTGGAAATGCAGAGGCCACAGGGAAGCTAGTTCACTCTCGGGGGAAAAAGCCCAACGGCCTTGAGCAAAACCCCACAAGGCCCACCTGCTGGAGCCCACGCACCTGCCAGCAGCGGCCTCTGGAACATAATTGCTTCCCCCTTTCATCTGCCTGGAATGAGCCTGGGGGTCAGGGGCCTCAGGAAGGAAGATTCCAGGCTCCAAGTCTCTGTCAGGCAATTTAGAAGAGCAGGGCAGAGCCTCACTCAGTCATAACAAGCAGCAGCTGACACGATGGGGACACATGCAAAGGTGTGCAAAGCACACCTCCATCCATCGAAGGAAGACTCAGATTCCCCTCCAGAGAGCCCAGCCCCTCCCAGGCTGATGGAGAGCACACAGCAGGAGCAGTGCCCTCAGGGCTTCTCCACCAGCTGACCTCCCTCTCCTGGAGGCTGGACATTCAGATGGAGGTGTCCACAGGGCTGGCTCCTCCTGAGGCCTCTCTCCTGGGTGTGTAGACGGCCCTCTCCCCTGTGTCCTCACGTGGTCATTCCTCTGTGTGTGTCTGTGTCCTGATCTCTTCTTCTTAGGACTCTAATCAGACTGGATTAGGGGCCACCCCAATGACCCCAATGACCTCGTTAAAGATCCTATCTGCAAACACAGTTGCATTCGGAGGTCGTGGGGGTTGGGGCTTCAGCATACAGATTTTGAGAGTACGCAATTCAGCCCCAAACCAGGGGCTCCTCATTTTCCCTCTGTTCCTGGAGTTCTAGCCCGAGCAGCTGGAAGAATGGGAGGCCGGATGCTCACTGGGGGAGACCGAGAGGCGGGCTGTCTTGGAGGGAATTGGGGTTTGGACTCGCTGAGTCTGCGACACACAAGTGAAGCCATCAAGTAGGCGGCTGAGCTGCAGTGTGCTGCTCAGGGGAGAAGGGGAGCAGGAGGTGACACGCAGAAATAAACTGTGGAGAAGGTTTCAAGTCACCTAAACTGTAGACCGTGGACGAGCCAAGTCTAAGAGCAGGAAGCTTGGACAGTCCCGTAGGAGTGTTGGTAGGGAGCAGCCGGGGAAAATCAGGGGCACCTTGTCCCCACACCGAGGGAGGGGAGATGCTTAGGAAGGAGCGGGGACTTTGTCAAGTGGCAGTGATGGCAGGAAGGAGAGGATGTCCACTGGCTTTGGCCCCGGCGGAAAGTGGTGATCTCAGAAAGGATCACGTCCATGAGGAGCGAGCAGGCCTTGGACGGTGGAGGAGGAATGGGGAGGGGGTCCCTGTCACAGCCGCCTCATGCTCACACCGGCAAGTCCAGATGGAAACCCTCCTCCCGTCCACCACTCAGAACCACACGGGGTGCAGGGCAGAGAGACATCCTTTTAGAGAGAGCGGGAACCCAGTTGACTATTTCTTTCAAGTTACCAAACAGCAAACTTCAGCATTTTCGTCACTAGCAGTTACACCTTTCTGCACCCCTGGCCGAGTTATGACAGGGGGTCAGCCCCGCAAGCTGAGAACAGCTGTTGGGGCACAGACGCCCTGCAGAGGTTATGTGTCTGTGAGCCCCTGCCCCCTGGAGGAGGAGGGCGTGTGGAGAATCTGCACTTCTCACCCAGGGCTGAGCGATGGCACTACACGCGGAACGATTTTGTTTTGTCTGCACACTGCGAAACGGTCTGCGGGGCCACGAGGGGGAAAACGGGCACTGGGATTCCCGTGACCTGTCACAAGGAACACAGGCAGCACAGTGCCAGGAGAGTGGGATTTCAAAAACAGATAAATGTGTGTGGAGAGCTAAAAAGAAAGGAGGGAGGGGAGGAAGGAGGGGGGGAAGAAGAAAGGAGGGAAGAAGGAAGGAAGAAGGAAGGGAGGAGGAAGGAGGGAAGAAGGAAGAAAGAAGGAAGGAGAGAAGGAAGGAAGGAACAAAAGAAAGGAAGGAAGGCGGGAAGGAAGGAAGAAGGAAGGAGAGAAGGAAGGAGGGAAAGAAGGAGGGAAGGAAGGAGGGAAGGAAGGAGGGAAGGAAGGAAGACAGGAGGAGAGAAGGGAAAGAGGAAGGAAGGAGCAGGTACAGAGGCACACGCCTGTATCACACCCACGGATGTAACAAGTATGCACACACACATAAACATGTACACATACGCGTGGCTGGAGCATATTTGCCACTGTGTTTTCAGTTCTATTTGTGACTTTTCTAATAATAAACTGCCCTCCAGCACAGCAACACGAGATTCCTTATGAATATTTATGGTGACATTTGGCTCCCCCGACCAAGGCCCCTTTGGCCATGTGACAGCACTCAGGGAAGTGAAGGCAGGTCCCGGCTGCCTTCTGGATCTGACCTGGCAGTGGCAGCTGCTGTGACAGGTCGGTCGAGGGACTGCTACCTGGGTGCACTGTCGCTCGCCGCTGGCGGGATAGGGTGGGAAGCCTGCGTGCAGCGTTTACAACCAGGATCAGCTCTCCCGTGTCCTCTTTTAGGCCCCGCATGGGAGCAGTTAAAGTAAAACGAGCATTTCCAGTTTATTTGCTGTGCATTGCACTAAATTGCAGCTGGAAAATGCTAAATCAAAGGAACCTGTGGGAGGAGCGAAGGTATATTGGAACTCTGTATTTTCTGCTCAATTTTTCATAAACCTGAAACTGCTCTAAAAAAGAAAACCTTTTAAATAAAATTTTTTAAAAATGCTACATGAGAAATAGATTCCATTTGGGAACACAAGAAGAGTTAAAGACGCCTCGGTTGTACCTCCAAGAAGGCCCGGTTATACGTGGTTTTATTGACCTGCTGGTCCCCGAGGAGGCGAGTGGTGGCCCCTTGGATTCCTGAGTGTGACCCAGGACCGACCGAGAACCCACCGTGGCCAGAACCTCATCGAGGGCCTCAGAGGACGCCCGCTGGAGGGGTCTTGCTCAAGGCATTTGAAGAATATCTGAAGAGGAAAATGTATTTGTTCTTGCACTGTCTGTTCTTTTTTTTTTTTTTAATCACAATGTTTGTAGGTTCGCTAAAGTTTTGAAAATTCAGGACAATATGAAGAATGAAATGAAATCTGTCATCGACCAAGTCACTTTTGAGACCAGCGTTCTCGAGATTGGGGTGTCTGTTTTGCTCCGTATTTTCCTATGGGCACCTGTTTGTGTCTTTCCACAGTGACGACGACACTGAATTTACAGTGTGGACGTGTTCCTTCTTTGGGTTTCCCGTCACATGGTGAGCATGTTCACAGAGAATAACACAGCCTTGGCAGCACCGATGGACATGTCTGGATGGGTGGCTGTCAGATGTGTCATAAGGCAAGGTTCCTTCCCAGTGGACATCTAAGAGCTTGCAGGGTTGAAATTACTATGAATTATCCTGCAATGAATGGGTACGTCACTGATGCAGACATCTCTGGTTTGTGAAGGGTGAGATTCTTGGGTCAAAGATAAATGCTTAATACTCCTGATGGACACTGCCAACTGACCCCCCAAAAGATTTCCATACTAAACAACCAACAACGTAATAGAACACTTCACGTTTAACGTGAGGCACCTCGAAAATATTTACCAAAGTGATAAGTGAACACTGATACCTCATCTTCCTTTCTGTTTGAAAATCTTCCATCATTATTGAGCGTAAACATACTTC